AACCGCATGAAGCGATACGTGTTCGCGCTCGTCGCCACCTGTTGGCTGTTTTCGTTACTATTCAGCGTCCCGTGGCACGCGATGTCCGGTCCGCAGCCGAAATCGTACTACCGCGACGGCCACTACCACTGCATGTACGTGTTCAGCGCGCACGACTCGTACGAGGGCGTCGCCTACAGCGTTGTTGTCGTCGTCGTCTGCTTTCTGGCGCCGTGCATCGTCATGGCGACGTGCTGCGTCGTCATGTGGCGCACGTTTCGGCGCAACCTCATACAGGTGCGTCCCGTAGCGCTCAGCACTCGTCTGCTGCGATTCCAGGGCGAGATACACACGGCGACGACTGTCCTAGTTATGATCAGCGTCTACGTCAGCTGCTGGACGCCGTACTGCGTCATGACGCTGCTCAGCGTCGTCGTCGGCATGCCGATATCGCCGACGATGGACAACGTCGCCGCGTGGCTGGCGTGGGCCGACGCAGCCGTCAATCCGATCATCTACGCCGTGAGGAACCCGAACATGTCCGAACTGATGAACCTGCCGCGTTGCAGCGCCAATCTCTACGACGACCGCACGTCGGGGCGCGACGCAGCAGCGAGGACGCCGCCTGACGACGCGGCCGACGACCGCGGCAGAAGCAGCGCCCTCTCGTGGGTGAACGTGACGGCGGATTACATTTTCGTGATGGCGGCGAATCGTAAGGGATCCGATCTATCAACGACGACGATAGCGACGACGATTTAACGCGTCGCTGCTGTTTGCTGCTGTTTTCGTTCTGCTGCTGGCGATGCCGCGTCTGTCGTCATCACGATCAGCTGCGTTTCACATCTGCTGTTTTTGCGTTGCGGCTTGCGTGGATCCTTCGGATCGAATGCTGTGCACGAAACGTGTCGTTTTACTCGATTCCGTTTCTTCTTTCCACCTGTTCGCAATTCCGACGTTTTTGTTTGTCTTTGCGCGCAGTACATTGCTGCGAGGCCTTCTCGCTATGAAACGTGAACGTGAACTATGAAAACGCGAAGCGATTTTACGAATAAATCACGTTAGGCAGTTTTTTCCCTGACGGCAGTCAAGAAACGATGCCCTATAAGTTAGACTCGGGCATTATATGAATTTATATATTTTATGAAATGGCAGGTGCCATCGGAAGCGTGCATCGCGTTCTAAAGAGCCTGTCAGCGTGCGCGAATGTATTTCTCCACCCACATTCACCACAAAAGCCTAGCATCACTACGCTAATGTTATTACTATGCATTTCGTAAGCAGTGTTCCGTCCATAACCCGCTAATGCAGTTGCTGAGTTACTTTTTAGAAGAAATACTTAGCCATCGTTTTTGTTCGTCGCGGGATGGTCGTTTTTGTCTCAAATAATGCATATAGATGAGTTAGTTGGCCGACAAGTTTACAGTGTTTGACTGAAATTCAACCTACGTTAACTAACCAACCAAGTCTTTTTTCTTTGTCGTGGTGTGGTCGTATCTGAATGTCTATGAGTTAATAATCGCAGAGAGTACCCGTGTTGATGATTCTGACTTTACTACATCCACTTATAGTGTTTATAGACAGTGGTTCGAGTGATTCGGAGATGCATACCTGTAAACAAATGGAAATTATTAAGGCGGCCAACCGCCAATTCCAGTTACCGTTTTACCCACATTATATCAATTTGTTTTGAATTATGACCATCTGTAATAGTTCCAGGGAAGTTGACGGACGCAGGTATATTTGTCGGTGTACTATTTTACAATTGAAATCACAAGTAGATTGATCATAAATACTACTACTACTACTTTTTGTGAACGTAAATGTATGTATATATATGAGATGTGTTTTATAGCCATGTATTGGCAGTAGTAGCCAGCACGTGATAGTTTTACATCTTGTCCATGAGATATGAGCCATACATCAGAATGAATTGTGCAGTTTTTGACAACCATGGAACCGGCACACAGGTAGCTTAAGATATGTACATTCACATGAGATCGGGTCCCCATCTCCATCAACATGGCATCTGACCGCCATCTTGAGTTTGAAAATGGCCGCCATTAAAATCCATTATCCTTCCTAATCTTAAAAAGTGCTGCGCACAGCCGCAAAGTGGAAGCCATCGAGCTCATTCTTGATCCCATCGTGATACTTTTCTTCGTCTTTTCTTCTCCTTTCCTCCTTCTAATTCCTTCTTCCTTCTTCTTTCGTTCTGCTTCCTTCTTCCTTCCTCCTTCGTAAAGCGAATCAATTCCATATCCCCCTCCTTAATTTAGGTTATTGACATTTCGAGACTGAACTACACACACGATTGGCACGGTTTCGCACGCGATTGGCGCGTCATTTCCGGGACATCTGGCGGAGCTCTCTCCATCTCTCTCTCTCTCTCTCTCGCTCTTACACAGATAGAAAGAGCGACAGAGCGAGAGAGAGCGACAGAGAGAGAGAGAGAGAGAGCGACAGAGAGAGAGAGAGAGAGAGAGAGAGAGAGAGAGAGAGAAAGCGACAGAAAGAGAGA